ACACATTTTGACAGAATGTAATAAGATTTAAAGCACTTTGCAAATACAGTTTTTATGAAAAATTTCTTCCTTTATTAAAAAAAAACCAAAACCCTGTAGGCTACAAACTATTATTGAAGGAAGACATTTTCAAAAAATAAGGCAACAAAAATGTATTTTCTCTAAATGGAATTGACAGTGATTAACAGTTTCATTGCCAGGCGGTTCACTGAATTGAAAAAACTCTCTATGATGTTAACACAATCATACAAAACCCAGGGAATACCGAATTCCATTGTCTCTAAATTTCTAAGCTGTAAGAAACTGTGTAGATTCTTTGAATTACTTTAAGGAATAAATCAGAATCCGAACTCTTCTCCCAAACCTTTATAAGTGAAAAGAATGTCACCAGAGCACATTCTATTAAACCTAAACAGATAGCTCAGATATTTTATCCACCACTCCCCAAAACACTCATATAAACTAGTCCCTTTCACAACTCTGGGACTGTTTGTGTATTTTCGATTATTGTTCTTAACTAGAGGGTAAGAACTAGGTTATTCTAGTTTATCATTTACATAGCAAGCAGATGTTGACACTCAGTAATCATGTCTTATACAAGAAGGGACAAGGAAAGCCACTTAGTTTGAAATCCTGGTCTTACAGACTCCACCAGACAGAATCTGACATCATGAAGCTTTTCATAATCTCTTTCATAATCTCATACTCTCCATGTAAAAACCTTTGAAAATGTAAACACACACATAACCATTCATTAACTCTCTGCTCTGTTTATTTAAGTGGATTACATTTATAAAGAGCATTTGAAAGAATCCAGCCTCTTCTGTTTGCAAATTGGATTCTCAAGTCATCTTAAAGATACCATTCCCAACATAAGTAAAAAACATGCTTTCTACCTATTTTAAAGTCTAACTTGAAAGAAATATAATCGTGAATGCAGACTCTTGTAAAACCCTTTTAAAACTCATTTTTGGAAATGTAAAAAAAAATAGAAAAGGTACAAAGAAGAAAATAACAATGATTCATATTGCCACCAGGAAAAATGAAACTAAACCTTGGTATTTTCTCTCCCTTTATTTTAAGGAACACACTTTAGAAAATATCCTTTATGTTGATTATCAAGATTTCAAATAAGGCAGAAAGTTATGAAGATGCCAGTTTTTAAAAAATCATCTCTTAACAATTTCCATCATTAAACTTAGTGAACTTCATTTCAGACATCTATCTATCTATTAGCATGGATGGATGTTTAGGTAGAAATACTTTTATACAGTTGAATAGAGATGATGTGTATAATAAACATGATTAATTTTTAAAAATTTTTCAAGCAATTAAACAATTGAAACTAGAGTCAAACTTCAAATAAGTTTACCCCTTTTCAAGATACATTATTTCTTTTTAAAAAAATCTCTCTATGGCTGAAGTATCATGAAAACTGTTAAGAAACTGGAGTCCTTGTTATTAATTATATTATTGTTTTTATGAGCTTTCTTCCTCAGACAGTATCAATTGACTTCCTTTTTTGAAAGTTAACACTTTTGAAAGTTCCTCTCCTCCTCACCTCTGGAATGTTTTTAGGTGTTTTTATTATTTCTGCATTATTCAGGTTATATATTCAATTTTGCTATGGGGATGTATTTTGAGAATTATTTAATAGTGGCTCTGTGCTTAAATTATTGAAAGCATAAACCTTTGGGAGTGATATCTTTGTGTTTTACTTTCAGTTATTTTATCAACTGTCTGATAAACAACAACCGCTGACTTGACACAATCATTCATCATCCCCCCATATGTAGGGTCCCAAAAGCTGTGTAAACCATTATCACTCATCACTGAAAAGTTGTTGAGTACCAGTTGATGCTAAGCATTGCAGAATGCTGAAAATTCAGGGTTGGAGAGCTCATAGTCCCTACTTTCAGGAAGTGAGAGCAACCAAAGCATTTTCAAAGTCCTAGTGTGTTGGATCCTTGAGAGCACTGCTGTTATTTTCTTAACATCAGAGACCATCATGTGGCCTGGTATTCCTTGTGCTAAGTTGCTTCAGTCATGTCTGACTCTTTTCAAACCAATGGACTATAGCCTGCCAGGCTCTTCTGTCCATAGGATTCTCTAGACAAGAATACTGGAGAGGATTGCCATTTCCTTCTCCAGGAAATCTTCCCAACCCAGGGATCGAACCCTGGTCTCTTACCTCTCCTGCACTGGCAGTCGGGTTCTTTACCACTAGGCGCCACCTGGGAATCACCTGTTATTCCTTAGGCCTGCAATTAATACTTGTTCAATTCAATGGGCCTTTATGTGCCAGAAACTGTGGTTAAGTATGTTATGAATTATATCTAATTTTGTCTTGACAGCAAACATATTAGGTAGGCTTTTATTGTCTCCATTTTGTAGATGAGGAAGCTGAGTCACAGAAATAATATCCCAAAGTTATACAACAGAGTTTAATTGTAGAACTCATTCTTTTTTCATGACACCTGGTCATTTAGGTTGGAAGTCATAGAGGAAAGAGGCACATGAACTGGTTAGAGCTGAGTGGTTATACCACTCAGTGGGATGACATAGAGCAAGCTCATCCTCTTTTTTTAAAACATTTTATTTCTTTATTTATGGCTGTGCTGGGTCTTGTTGCTGCACACAGGCTTTCCCTAGTTGCGGTGAGCAGGGGCTACTCTCTAATTGTGGTGCTTGGGCTTCTCATTGTGGTGGCTTACTCTGGTAGCAGAGCACAGGCTCTAGGCACACGGGCTTCAATAGTTGCAGCATGTGGGCTTAGATGCCGCAAAGCACATGGAATCTTCCCAGACCAGGGATCTAACCTGTGTCCCCTCCACTGCAAGCTGGATTCTTAACCACTGGGCCACCAGAGAAGTCTGCTCCTTCCATTCTTTAAGCCTCCGTTTTCTATCAGTGAAATAGGATTAAAGGTGGGAAGAGTAAATCAAATGATTCAGGCAAATGTTTAGCATAATACTTGTCACAGGTGCTCAAGAAAGAGTAGCATTTCATATTATGTCTACAACATGCTATACAAGTTCAAAGGAAGGAATCATTTTTCCCCCTGGATTTTCAGGGGAGGAGACACTCATACTTGGGATATACTGACAGCATAGGCATTCATCTGGGCAGAGGCAGAGGGAGTCTTGGCAGAAAGAAAAACATGAAACAGGACTGGAGATCTTGCTGAGTATTTGCATTCCTCTATTCAACTCCGGAAACTTCCTTCCTTCACTTGTACATCTCGGGAGCATCCAAACAGCAGTATCTGTGTTTAGAAAGGCTGACTTGCAAATAGAGCATTGTATCTTACTGGACCATCTTCCCAGGGAGAATTAGTCAGTGTCTGTACTGCTCTGAGGAAATGTGAGTTGACGGGGCATTTTTAGGCCTATTGGTCCAGGAGGCCAGGGGCCATCCCAGGCCAGCTTAAGAGTGCTTGATGGTCCTCAGAAGAATATCCGCCTGTCAGACATTCTAGAAGAGTGTTTCTCACCCTTGTTTTCATTCTCTTTCTCCATTAGGCTTGTCTATAATTGCTGTTCCCACCCCCACCATGAAATGTTAATAGCACAGATAACTGCATCTCAGGTTATGTGCTGAGTGTTCATCCTACTTCATACATAAAAAGAGTAAGATTTTTGACCCTTTCCCCAAGAACCAACTTGTATAAAACAGACTTCAGAGGGCCTTCTCAGGAAAGCTGCTGATCTGGAGCTGACCCTGAACGTGAAAGCTCTAACTGCTGTGCCTCTAAATAGCCACTTTTTTTAAAATTATGCTTTCAGTTGCACTTCTGCAATGAGCCCTTCTAGAAAAATAGTGTGGGCTACGGCACCAGCTTCCCAACTGGTTTCTCTCTGTCCGTATTTCCTTGCCTGCCCTTTCACAGTCAGTTTATGAAATAGCAGCCCAAGTGACCTTTTAAAAATGTAAGGAGATCGTGTCTGTCCTCTGCTTAAAACTCTCAAATACATTCCCACTGGACAAAGAATAAAATTTGGACTTTATATCATGGCGCCCAAAGTCAGCCTGGTCTCCTTCCAAGCGCTCCGGTCTCTTGCACGCCAGCCTGCATGCCGGGGAGGATGCCCTGTGGACAGACAGATGCTGTCGGGTACAGAGGCACAGGTGTTGGCAGTGGCAAGCTCTCGGTGTGTGTCAGTGACCGCTGAGAGGGTGTGGGTGCGGATACGGGTAAGCAGGGACGGTAGTGGATACAACACCGGAAGGGCAGAGAGAAGGCGATTTGTGTGCTCAGGGAAGTCAAGAAAGACTTCTCAGAACCAGTGACAGTAATGGAACTGTGACATGAAAAATGATTACACATTAATTGGGTGATGGAGGATGGTGGCCGTGGTCTGAGCGGAAGGAACAGCATGCACAGAGCCCCCACAATGGGAGGGAGTGGGCAGCATGTGAGCCACTGGAAGGGAACTGTGGGCTGCAGCAGGATATGAGATGCTGCTGCAGAAACAGGCAGGATCCCCGTCACATGGGCATCTCCAGGCATATTAAGGACTGCAGTTTGTCTTAAGAGGGAGATTGCCACTGGGGGGGTTTGACTGTGTGACTAGTTGAGGGGGAGACAAGGTCAGATTTCATTTTGAAAAGATGACTCTGGTTGCAGTGTGAGCATAGACCAGTCAGGAGGCACTGCAGTGGGAGCGTGGCAAACGGGTGCAGGTTTGCCCGGGGACCTGGTGGGGTTTATCACTGAAAGGCCTGCATCTGGGAAGTTCTCCAGTTAAAGGCAAGCCTGCCTGGGTGGTCAGCCGGTGCTGGGTGGTCATTCAGGTGAGAGATTACGATGGTCTCATGAATGATGCAGGAGCGCGTCTTCCGTGGACCCACATTAGAAGCAAAAGGGTCAGCACAATGAATCCCTGTTTCTGAAAGTCCTTCGAATTGGCCTCCTTAAATACACGGCCAGCACAGCAGTACACACACTTGCCTAATGTGCAGATTGCTGTAGGTGAGCCTTGATTATTTTTCCTATACAGGCTGGGTGGCATCATGTTTTTGACATCTCAAAGCCTGGAGCCTGCCCAAGCGAAGGTCGATAGAGGTAAGAAGGGGGACTCAAGTCATTGCCGCACCTTGAACCTCTGCTCATGATCAAGCCACACCCTGTCCCCAGACTTCTGTGCTGTCTCTTCCCCCCCAGCTTCCTGATTCCAGCCATGCTTTCCAACCTATACTCTTAGGCGCCCAATCCCACTGAAACTAGCTTTCTGACCACGCTGTACTGCTGAGCATTTTGAGGGTTCCGAAGTGCACCCTAAATAGAGTTAATAGCTCCATGCTGAGACGTCAAAGCTGCTTCCCCCATCCCCGTAGCTTAACCTTCCTACTTTCTGTAGTCCCCAGAGGCAGAAGGTGTTTGTTACTAAATCGTCAGAGAGAACTGAGGGAAGACAGTTGACTGATTACTCCTGCTCTCACTATGAATGGCTAACTGGGCCCACTGTGTGCCAGGCACTGTTTTTAAATGCTTCACATACATAGTTATTAATATATGTGTTAATAAAGAGATTACTCACTGGAGAGACTTTGGTGAGTACTCGTGGTTTTCTAGTCAATTGTTCAAGGACAGGTTTTCTAGTCAACTGTAACCAGCAACAGAGCTCCTCTTTTCATGGTGGTTATCTGCTACAGCGTGTGGGGAGAGACTGAGTAGCTGATGAATATGTAATGTGGCAGATGGTAAGTTCCACGGGACAGAGGCATTCGGGTGAGGACTGGAGAGTGACATTGGCTGTGGGCACTTTTTCATGTCAAATAACCTAGGAAGCCTTTTCTTGAGGTGTCATTTGAGCAGATGACTGTAGGCAGGCAGAGACTGAGTCACAAAGATTCCGGAAAATTTTGTGCAAACAGAGAAACAACAATATATGTACTATATGTATATATACACATATACATATCTATCTATCTATATATAAACCATATAGCATCTATATATGGTTTGTGGTGAAATTCTGAAATCACACCTTTTATGTTTCTCTCAGGCACTAGTCAAAGTTTCATAAATACATTTTCCCCTTTGTTTAAAATCTTGGAGCATTTTTTAAAAAATTTATTCATTTTTTATATTTCCTACTATCACTTTGATCTTTAATGGAAATTTTGGTGCTAATCTTTTACTTTCTAATTTGACTTTTTGTATTTTTCATATTTTTCTCTCCTTGATATACATTTTAATGATGGAAGCCAATTTTGTTCCTTTTAATGATTTTTTTGGGTCCATTTTAAATGTTGTGTTTGATGGAAAGTAAAACTCAAGCCATAATTGATGTTTAATTATGGCTAGAAAAATAATATGCTTGAATTTCCAGGCAGACATAGTTTGGACCTGTGTTTCCAAATAATGATGCTTTAGTCTACTGTTGACTGAATGTCTGCCATCTTTCAAGCTTGTGCTATAGGGAATACAGAGATGGTGATGATGGCAGTCCCTTCCCTTAGGGAGCTTTTGGTCAGACAGGAAAAATAAGTCACAGAAGGTCAGTTGGCCATCAGAGGCAGTGTGTGTTTAGAGTCTTTTCCTGGATAACATGGGTCTGGAACACAAAGTAATAGCTATTACTTTTATAGTCCCTGCTAAGTATCAGACACCCAGTTCTCACTGCTGATAGGTCTGTCAGGTGTCATTATTACCTGTATTTTAGGGATGAGAAATTGAAGTACATAGAGATGACATAGCTAAGGTCACTATGCTAGGTGGAAGAGCTGGAATTTGAACCAAGGTCGTATTCATCCTAAAGTTGTGCAAAAGAAGGGATGCCTTGACCCTCAGAGAGATGAGGCAAGGAGCCCACGGACATCTGAAGTCTGGGTTCATGGGTATCACTGGGATTAAGCTAGACATTCTGACAGAGGAGGCTAAACAGATTTGAGCCCCAGTGCAGAGCATGGAGGCATCATAGGTTGGTAAGAGCATGAGAAGGGTCTCAAGTTGAAGATTTTTTCCTTTGTGCATGGGCCAGGAGGGAGCAATCAAAGCACCTATTCAGATGGTAGTTCTTAAGTGTCAATCAAGGGTTTGGACCAAAGGAGAAAAGGCTGTGGTAGTGCTGAGGTGGAGAGATCACTGTGTCCTGGGTCTCACTCAAGCGAATAATGAATTTTCTTTTCTAATAGAGGTGGAAATAATGAGCCTTGATTAATTCATCTATTTTTCACCCATGTTAATTTTCAGTTTTACTTGTTTCCTACACTTCACTTGCTTTCCTTCTGGGTCTTGCATTACATTACTGATGAAAGTTTGGTTCTTTTGTGAATCTCTCATACCATTTCCTTTACCTGCTTCCACCCCTTATTGTCCTGCGGTATCTTTGGTTCCAGAAGTCTAGGTTCTGATCCCACGTGTGCCCTGAATTTACTCTACCTAGAAAAGTAATTTGGAGAGTGGACTCCATTTCTCTGCAGAAGGGGCTATAGAACTGCACTGAAAATAGAATAAAAAGCTGTTTTACAGATGGAGACATTGAGGTGCAGAGAGGCTAAGTGACTTTCAGAAGGTCATTGTTTTAGCAACTGGCAGAGCTGGAGCTGAGCCCAAGCCTTCTGACTCTGAATTCATTGTTTTTCCTTCGGTTTGCGCTGCTTGGGTGGAAACTTTCTCATGTGAAGATTGATGAGTCCTGGATCAGTCATACTATGCGGTAAGTGCTCATATCCTATGACTTAAGAAGACAAATTAGTGAATGAGTGGGTCTCATTCAGAAGAATGAGACTTGGTGTCCCTGGTTAGTCCTGTAAGGGATTTTCAGAGCCCCTCTGGGAAAAAAACCATCTCTGGTCAAATCCCATCTCAGCCCCTTGCCAGCTGTGTGACTCTCAGCAAATTACTTACCCTCTCTGTGACTCAGGTTCAGGTGGCTCAGTGGTGAAGAGTCCCTCTGCAAATTCAGGGGACTTGGTTTTGATCCCTGGATTGGGAAGATCCCCTGGAGGAGGAAATGGCAACCCATTCCAGTATTCCTGCCTGGAGAATCCCATGCACAGACTATACCTGCACATGACATGATCTTCATTATAGAACAGGGATAAATAATAGTAACTACCTCATAGACTTTTTTGTGTGTGTGAAAGCAAATGTGTTAAAACAGGTAAAAGCTCTAAGAAGAGTGCCCAACATGGGGTGAGTGATCCCTAAACAAGCAATCACCTACTTAATGAACTATTTAAAGAACTAAAGCTGTTTACCTTAGGTATCTAAAGTTTTTGTTTGGGAACCAAAGCTTAGAAATATTCTGGGTACTCAGAAGTTGTGTCTTAGCTGCAGATAATAGCTTTAGGATTTTGTCAGTGCTGGGGAGACCTCTGACCAAATCACTCCCTCTTCTATATAAGTGAAGCTGAATTCCCTAAACTGGCTCCGTGGCCTGTCATTCCCTTTGACAGGGCAACGCCGCAAATGAAAATACTCCTGTGACGGCTAACTCATGTCATCAAAAGCTGAATGATTTCTATCTGGTCATATGTTGAAAGTGACTTTTCTTAGAGGCAGCAGAGAGAATGTGTTACCAGCAAGGGGAAGGGAAGTAGAGGAGGTTGGTTAGAGGTGCCAAAGACAAATTCTCCATCTAGAGAAGTGAAGAAGAAAATGTTTGACATATAGTTGGCCTTCAGGGAACAACTTCTAAATGGGAAATGTGCCGTTTGCTCTGGCCCTCCAGCCAGGTATTTCTGTCAAACCTCTCTCAGCAAGGTCCATTTATCTCTCACATCTGATCAGATAAATTGCTTGCTTAAAAAGAATATGCATGTGAGATTTGTTCAAAAAGTATGAGACATTATATGATTTTATTGCATTGTAGCCTCAGTCCAACTCTGACAGTCATAAATAAACATTTCAATTGGGGCAGGACTTCTCATTTGAGGAGGATGCTATATGGGTGAGAATTTCTTGATTCTTTATATATATATGTATATATATATATATATATATATACATATATATATAATCTTGTTTATTTATTTTTGGCTGCAATGGGTCTTCGTTACTTTGCCTGGGCTTTCTCCAGTTGCAGCCAGTGGGGGCTTCTCTTGTTGCGGAGCACAGGCTTAGACACGAAGGCTTCAGTACCTGTGGCACATGGCTTGGTGGTAGCGATGTATGGGCTTAGTTGCCCCGCGGCATGTGGACTCTCCCTGGACCAGGGACTGAACTGTCTCCTACATTGGCAGGTGGGTGGATTCCTATCCATTGTGCCACCAGGCAAGTCCTGATTCCTTTTACATCTGTGGGAGAGTACTGCTAAGTGTGTGTGTGTCTGGGGTGGGGCCAGGGTGGAGAATGTAGGTATTTTCAGAGCTTCTGCACTTTGATTTGTACTCAATTTTGACCTCACTGGGACCATACTTTTGGTTTCCAGTTCCCAGGCCAGCAGATATACAGCAAGCTCTATGTGAAGTATCTAAGCTTAGCCTTTGAGGACTCCTTTCTTTATTTAAAAAGAAAAGAAAGAGGAAAAGATGTGGCAAAATAAGGGTGACCTGCCTTCTTGAATTTCTTGTGAAAAGAAATAATGAAGAAATATAAAGCACTGAGAAGATTGAGGAACTTTCTTCTACAATGTCAGTTTCCTCCCTATAAGAAAGCACTTAGGCAACCTCTATGACTGAGACTCTAGTCCTTAAAAAATAGTTCTTTCCTCTGAATGGAATCTAGTTTTATTTTATATTTTATTAATTTATTTATTTGTGGTTGTGCTGGGTCATTACTGCGTGGGCTTTTTTCTAGTTGCAGTGAGCGGGGGCTTCTCGTTGCTGTGGCTTCCCTAGTTGCAGAGCACAGGCCCTAGGGCATATGGGCTTCATCAGTTGCAGTTCCCATGCTCTGGAGCACACATTCAGTAGTTGTGGCACACGGACTTCGTTGCTCTGTGGCATGTGGGATCTTCCCAGACCAGGGATCGAACCCATGTCTCCTGCATTGGCAGCTGGATTCTTTACCACTGAGCCACCAGGGAAGCCCCAGGAATCTAGTTTTATTAATTAAATGATGTGTGGTAGGAAAAATTCTCTCCATCTGAAAGACCTGCTCAGTTTCATGGGCGCCCGATCTAGCTCCATGGGACAGTTCCCAGAGTTTGAAACAGAAATCACAGTGGAATCAAACCATTAAACTTTGCTTTTGGAAAAACTACAGTGTGGAATGTGGAAATATTTCTGATTGCCCACATTCCATAAGTCCAAATATGGGTCAGTTGTACACAGGGATGTTGTCATTGATAATGTTCATATCATAGGGGAGCTGGGAACATGAAAAACTATTACACCTGATCTTTGCTCATTTGATCTTGAGCCTCCCAGGAATCTAGACACAGTAGATTGATCCCTCAAATACTGATAGATAAAAATTATCAATAATTCTGGGTTTTATGGAATTCAGTGGTCTAATTAACTGAACCAAGAAAATTTTAATAATTATTGGGATCAATTATTTTTGTTGGGAATGAAAATTTTATTATATGGAATATTAGGGAACATAAATTAAGAGATCAAAGACTCTTTGTCTTTCTAAGAGGAGTATGTATCATAACATTCAAAAAATTATACTAGCTTGGGATGCAAGTGTTCTGAATTCCAACTCATCCAAGCACCTAGTCATCATGGAGGTAAAACCAGGAGGAGCTGGTAATGGATTGAACTCTGAGAGGGGGCAGATATTAAGGAAGACTAATAGATCTGTGGAACTGGATAGACAATGGTTAATAATTTCCTCAGAATCTCCATCAAATAGTCATCAACATTCACTTAAAAATGTCTAGTTATAGCAAACCTTTCAAAGAAACCCATTCCATTTGGATGACTGATTTTCTTCTCTTTGGGGTGGGAGTCATGTTTATCATTGCATTTCGTCTATTTCTCATTCTTTTTTGTGACCCTTATTCTTCAAATTGTGTGGAGGCCAGCACTTGTTTTTGGGTTGAAGTCAAGCTGCATTAATAATGACACCTTAATATGATCAGTCTTAGTTTTTGCTGTTTACATAGGACTTCATCCAGCTCTTTAAACTTCACATTATTTCCTGGAGCTTCATATGTGCTCAGCCATCAGACTAGTCATACTGTCCTCCACCCTTGTCCTCACTGCACCTTGTCTTTATTTTGGCCTCTTCTGAAGGAACCCTCTGTTAAAATGACACCCCATTGAGCACAATAGTTTTCTGTGATGGTCTTGTTAAGTTCCCAGGACACCAAAGGAGATGATGCATGGGAAAGAACAGCTCCTCCTCTACCCCTGGCCATGCTTTCTAACCTGGGCCCTGAAGCAGCATTGCTTGGTTTCATAGTCTTACAAAGTCTTTTATGAACACAAGAAATTTTCCTACCTTTTTTTCTCTCTGTGTGTCAGATATTGTCCTTTTCTGTCCACTATGCTCTTCTTTTTCTATCTCCACCTATCCCTTACCCAAAATTTCCCCTCTCACTCCAGATCCCTGCAACTAAATAGGTCCCCTTCATGCCTCTTGTCCTTCCAATCCCGAAAACTTCTTCTATATATCTACACATATAATAAACTCATTAAGGATTCCTTGTCTATGTTTCATAAAAAGGTGGACTAGATATCCCAGGCCAGTGCAGGTAGGTCACTCTGCTACATGACAGCTTTAGACTGGTGTTCTTCAGCTGCTCCATCATTTTCCTGTGGGATATACGATGTTGTTCTTTTATTGAAAAATCTCTGGGAAAGTCATCCTTGTACTATCTGCATTATTTCAGTGATGTGACTCCCCACCCCCACCCTATTCTGTTCCTCCTCAAAGTCACAATCATTCATTCTCCATCCTTTATATTTTCCTCCAGCTTTATTTAAATGATTTGCTTTGTCTTCCTTTTCCACATGTTTGATATCCTTTCTAATAAGCTAGAGGATTGAGAGCCAGTCTTCAAGCCCCTGCTACTCGAATTTTCTGTACTGAAAGGACTGTGGACTTGTGTTGAAGCCCAACTCTACTATGTCCTTCTGTGAACTTCATTTATTATAATGTATAAAATGAAAGAAAAACAACCTTATGAGGCAGAAGGTAATTGCTAGAGTTAAATGAGATAACAAAGGCAGAATTTCTAATTCAGTATCAAACCACATAACCAATATCAGTCTCCTTCCCTTCCCCATCCCATCGCTTGGTGACAAGTTGCACTGTGCTGTGTACTGGCTGTGGTCCATCACTGCTTGCTCATCCACATAACACTCCTGCAATGCCTTCTCATCTTACCATCCTCCTTCCAGGCTACTCAATATACCAGTGGCCTCTGCATCAATTTGCCATGGAACCTCGAGTTAGTATGTGTCTTGATCCTTTGGTCTTTGTACCTTAGTTGTTGTTATTGTTGAGTCACCAAGTCATGTCGACTCTTCTGTGACCCCGTGTACTGTAGCCCTCCAGGTTCCTCTGTCCATGGGATTTCCCAGGCAGGAATATAGGAGCAGGTTGCCACTGCCTTTGCCAGCAGACCTTCCTGACCCAGTGATTGAACTCACGTCTCTTGCTTGACAGGAGGGTTCTTTACCTGGGAAGCCTAGGTGTATCATACATGTTGCCCATTTGAATCATTGTGTTTTGCACACTATGCAGATCCATGCAGTGTGATGACAGCTAGTGATATTAACAGACAATTGTATACATGACCACATGTCTAACTTTATTTGT